AATTAAATATAAATTTTCAAAGAAACATGAAATTATACCTTATCTTTGCAACTTGAAAGCATAGATAAAATACTAAGACAAACAGCATTAATACTCAATGCTGGTGACCAATCATCGGTTAAAATTGATAGACATATATGACCATTTGAATAAATATGTGGATGAAGTGGAATGTTAGAACCAATGAAAGTAACCTGAATAAATAAATAAATAAATAAAAATCTATCTATTTATCTATATATTTTGTTTTTGTTTTTTTGTTACTTGTGGTGAATCAAATGGATATTGATCAGAAAATTTAAATAATAATTGAAATTTTTCACCATCATATAATGTTCCTGGTGCACCTTCAATATCAATTCGAATTCTATGATTAGAACAAAAAGCACATATAAATTGATAAATAGAAAAGACTATACTCTTACTTTCGCATATCAGCAAAATCTTCTACTACTCGACTATAAAAACAAAATTTTAATTCAAAGATAATTTTATTAAAAACAAAAAGAATAACAATACATACATCCCCGGTGTTGGATTTTCTGTTAATAATTTAAGTTCTTTCGTTAGACGTTTTCGAACGAGATCAAACTACAGAAAAATAAATAAAAAAAAAAAACAATCATATCTATCGAATAGTTATAACTGTCAATTAATTAATACAAACCGCCATCAATTAAATATCGAAACACAAAAAATAAATATTTCTATTATTCTCTCAATTTGAATAATTTTTCTTTTTTTCTTTTTTTATTATAGTAATATCATCTAAAAAAACAAACAAATTATCCATCAAATATGCTTCTTTATACTCGATGTCAATAGACATCAGTCAAACCCAAATATTACTTTCCAAGACATGGATCATTATTTAAAAAAAGAAAAATACACCCATGTAACTTTAAAAAACAATGGAAAAGAAAACAAGCTTGAATGTGTTTTAATTATTATTCGGATACATTAGAAAAAAAAAACATTTTCAAAGGAAGAGAGAGTCATGGATTGTTTTTTGCTGTTTAAAAACAATTAAAAGAAAAAAGAAACAAGAAGACATTTGCTATTATTCATCACAGCACGAACAACATATATGTACATGAGCATGTTTATTGCTAAAGATTTTTTAAAAATTAATGTTTAATTGACATTGACTGGAAATGAGGTGCCATTTTATCAGCTTCTGACGATGACATACCACGATCGACTAGTAAAAATAATTTATTTAAATGAAAATCTTTTTGTTATAGAAATAAAATTCACCTTTTGTCAATTGTTCACTTAGATCACCAAGAGCATTTCGTCGACCAGTTCTTCTTGCTGCTTGAAACATTTTCAGATCTTCATCTTCAGGTATCATAGATGATGCTTCAGTTGTATTACTGTTACTTGTAGTTGATGCACTCATTTTTAATTAGCTTTTTACTTTTCAGCAAAATACAAAAAAATTGAAAAACACGATATTTATCGTTGCTGTAAGATTAATAAATAAGACTGAAACGAAAATAAATCATACGATTAATCAGATGCTAGTCATTTGAATGTCAATCATAATGTAGGAAAAGAAAATAAACAAAACGGGAGGCGAAAGAGTTAACGTGTGAAATGTACAATGATTGGTTTACCATCTATCGATTCATATTAATTATATTTTATAGTAGATGTCTCTGATTATCATAAAGAAGATGGCAAAAACTTAACTGACATTTTCATAATTAATCATGAATGACATATACTATTTAAATAGTTTATGAGAAGAAGAAATATATAATGAAATAAGTGTCAATTAATAATTACTAAAATGTTATCAACAGACATAGTACTCAGAAAGAAAACAAACACTAAAAATAGAAAAAGTCAAAGAAGTGCTTAAAAATTAGAAGATAAGTCATGTTTTCATTCTGTAGGGAAAGAGATTCATATTTTGAAAGAAGTCAAATTATGTTTAAGATAAATCTATCAGTAATTAGAGATTGAAACGGTTCACGAGAGAATTGCTGAAAGTAAATCAAAGCATTTGCATTGATATTTTTTCCATCAGTATGACTCAATGAGACTACAAACAACTTAAAGGGATAAGGGTTAATAAGTTTTTCGTCCCGAGTTATGATCATTTTATAACAAGAGATTTACGGAAAATTCAAAGTACGTAGTTTCAATCTGAAATATTCGCCATATATAAATCTCATGATCTTAATAGTAGTGATCGGAATGTCGCAATCAACATGAATGCTTCATACTAGAAATATTGACCCTTGGAAAAACATTCGTAGAGTACCACATGTCAAGAAAATCGGCTTTTTTTTTTTTTTGAAATCTCACTATCTCAAGAAAGAAGTATATCATTTTGATTGTGACATTTATGACACTAAAAGGATCACGAGATTTTTATGTGGAGGACATTTCAGATAAAAATTTTGTACTTTGAGTATTCATTAAATTTCATGTGATAACTGATAAATCTAATAAAACAGTCGTAACTCTGAAAGAAAAATCGATGCCCTTTATCCTATTAATCTTTTTCTAATCTCATGGTATCCTACTTATGATAAAAAATATCAATATAAAAGCTCTAATTTGCTTAGAACGCTTCTCTCGCGTTAGTCCTATACTTTTGATAATTTGTTATTGCCTTATTGCGCCACACTTCGTAGTTTTCCGTTTGACAGATGTGTTTCGATACGATCGATCAGCACACATAATAATTATTAACAGAAAGATTCAAACAATATGTTTAGCATGTTCTTAGACTGTCTCAACTACGATAGTAAACGAATTAATTTCTGGAATGTTCTATCACATTTCTCGTTGTGCAATCAAGTTACTATGAATATAGAATTGCTATTCAGTATAGAACATTCTTCAGACCACTTTGCTAAAAGTTTCCATTTGGATGAATGTAGTTCTGAATATGATTAAGCATGAACAATACGATTTGTCATTTATTAATTTAAGAAATTCTAATGAGTATTGATCATACTCATAGGAATAATCTTATACTTACGAGAAGAATTAAACTTCTATTGAACTTACTTTTTGTTTTTTTTTAAATCTCTAAGACAATTCAATAACATCATATCTTACCGCTTTTCTGTCAAATTATATTATTCAAACAGACAATCGAAGAAGTGTGGCGCATTCAAAGTAATATGGTTTTAAAATATGAAACAAATAAGCTGCTGTCAGTGTAGCGGAATAACACCCACTGAGTATTCTTTTATCTTGAGGACAGAAATAAATGTCTTCACAGTAACATCTATATACTTTATTTATTATAATAAATACTTAATACCTAAAAGGAAAAACAAAATCAAACAGTATATAAACAGTAATATTCAAATAATAATTAAGTATTAGGTTGTCAAGCTATAATTAAAGAAAAATAGTAAAAGTTAATTTCTTTGATCAGCTTCTACGCTGATATATTTCTTTCTTTCTTTGTTTCTTTTTCTTTTTAATGACATTTCAATAAGTATTATGATGAAATAGATGAAAAACAAATGTTTGTTGCTAGGTTTCATCAAAGATCAAAAGATACCATAAATTTTTATGAAACAATAAAAAATTTGTTTTATTTAATATTTTATTTTTTTTACGTCTAAGGCGTTCTTGCTTGAAGTGAAGAAAAATTTTTCAAAACTATAGAATCATTCATAGTGTTTTTCTTTCACTTAACTTTATCAATCGATAAAAAGAATAGTTGTATGATTTTTTAAATCAATAAAAAGAAAACACACTATTCAATTTTGTTTTCAACAAGAAACAAAAAACAATAACTGGGCCATTGGATATAAAAACTTCAAATTCTTCTACTGGTATATAATTTTTTACTTACAATATAATGTCGACACAACAATACTTGTCTTATTGTCCAAATGAAACTATTTAGAATGTTTTTGAGTGCCTTTCTCTTTTATGGCCTATATTTCTTTCTCTCGTCTTTTCTCTCTTGTTCTCATCAAACTTTTTTTTCCTTCCATTAAGAACAGACAAACTAAAATATAATAAAAACCAACGCTTGAATGTTCCTATAATATAATGTATTTATGCTAAACCTGACATGCATTATAGGATATATTGTATGCGTGCATTTAATTTTAAAATAAAATTAGACACATGAATAATTTGTATCCTGAAACACTATTTTATTAAATACCGGATGTTTAATTATCTTAGGGAATGAAAGTAAATGAAGATAATCATGATGTTGATGCGATGTATAAAGATTGAAGATATATACATATATATGAATTTAATAACAATATGATTATTGACGTATGCAAATTGAAGAACATTTCGTTTCTTTTTACACACCATTTACAATGGGATTAAGAATTTTATTTTTATAATCTTCAAACAGTACTTGAAGATAATTACATAAAATATATTTGGAAAAATTCTTTTGATATATTTTATGCAATAATTATTTTACAGCTTAGATCCTAAAATATTTTTAGCGAACAAAAACAATGACAGACACTAAAATATTAAGTGTAATTTGCTAACCAAAAAGGATGTTCTTTCTTGTTCACTAACATCAACCATTTTCAAGTTTCATATGGAAATATATATTATACGTGCAAAGATTCCTATGAATAACTTCATTACTACGCAAAAATAATACTTATTAACCTCTTGTTTGCATATAAGTGAATGACAATATTGAAAACCTATTCTCTTCTCTTTACGACGAAACATTAAAATTATATTTGAATATTTCTATTGCTCTATAGATGTCACTAATATATCGAAATAATATAAATGAAAAAATAAAATTGATTTTCAAATTTAAATAAAAAAAACTTCATCATTTTTTCATTATAAAATACAAAGTTATATAATAAAAAAATTTATTGGATAAACAAAATATTTGTCAACATAAATGGTTGTCACCTATTGTTTACTGTTTTCTTTTTGTTCTATACACGTAGAAATTTTACCGTGTCAAATATTGACTGTCTGATTAGAGGTTTCTCTGTTTATTACAAAAAAACGTTTTTTATCGAATGAAACCGCGTTATAATCTTCGTATTCAATCAATTAAACCTCAACTTATAACAAAAAACAAAAAATCTCCTTCAATATTAACATCTCGAGTGTTAGTTATCTTTTCTTTTCATCATCAGATAAAAGAAATTTTGGTTTTTTTTTAAATTTCAGGACTAAAAAATCCAAACCTCGTCATTCAAATTCTGTAATCAATCAGGAAAAGCGTCGTCATAGTTTACGTTTAACACCAGTTGTTAAAGAAAAAAAAGCTTCATTAACTATTCATGAAACTAGTAATAAAATATATATGATATATTGAATAAAATAATTATCTTTTTTTTCTTTCCTAGTACCAAAATGGCGTCAAGTAGAGAATGATAGTGAAGATGAAAATTCATCAATAAATAATGATGATAATTATGATGATCTACTTGCTCGACATCATCGACATATGCTTGAAGAACAAAAAGATCGAAAGTAGAAAAAAAATACTTTTATGAAAAATTATTTTTTAATTTTTTTTTTAAATACAAAATTTCATAGACTCTATGAACGATATGTTCGTGGTCAACGATCACTCCGTCGTTTACAATGTCGTCGTACACATACAGCACATTTAAATGAAGCAACTAGAAATCGTTTATTACGTGAATTAGAACGTGAACGTCGTTATGCTATTCAAGATAAAATTTGTGCATATCGTAAGTTTTTTAACGAATACATACCAGAATAAATATCACAGTCAACATTCATCTCTGTAACTTATTCATGATTTAATTCTTTACAAAAAATATATATGACAAGTTTTGCTGCTAAATATTAAGCAGAAAAATTAGGAGAGATAACCGAGATTTATCTGAACTTGTCTATTGATGACATGTAATACATCTTAACTTAATCAAAAGAGAACCATAGCTCTGAAGAGGTAGCCTTCACTCTCGATTAAGTAATTGCCTTCAGTCGACATACAACTCAGCTTTATTTTAATCTGAAGAAAAGCAAATGATGCATGCAATAGAACTCTTTATTCAGATCATCGGGCAAAATAAGCAGTTTCGCCTATTATCAGCTTAATCTTAATAACGAAATATTTGCGTCAGAATACTTAATTGACACGCACTTCACGGTACATGATGAAAAAGGTCACATGTACAAGGCAACCTCTTTAGTTGTCTCTTTCTGATTTCAATGATTATACTATCTAGTGTTCTAATACAAACTCTCAAAGATTTGAGTTCCTATTGAGATTCGACTAAGCTATCGAATTGTTCATATGTCTAGTTTCTGGATCTCAGATTTTCGAATTTCGATCATGAAACTTTGTGTATCTTGAAAGTCTTATGTTTCAAAGATATTTTATGTAAAACTTGTACATTTCTTTTATAGAAGTTAGTCTAGTTGAGTTCTCTATATACACAAAGTTTCAGATCAAAACTTCGATAGCTTAGTCAAATCTCAATAGGAATCGAAATCCTTTCAAGGATTGTATTAGAACAGTACGTAGTAATATCTATAGGCAAAATATTATTTAAATCGAAAGGTGACAACTGAATGAATTTTCTCGTTAGTTAAACTCTCAAACATTCTCTCTCTCTCTCTCATCTTCTTATCTTTGTATCAAGCTAGCAAAAAAATGCTGCATGGTTCTGAAAACCAACTTTCGAATGTTGGAGCTTCCTAAGATTATTTATCTAATTTTTCTGTTTAACATTCAATAGCAAAACTTGTCATACATAGTTGTAGAGAATTGAATCATGAATCTTTTGAAAAAAGAAATGTGTTAAGACATGATGATGAATCTTGAACATAATATTACGAGAATGTTTACCAGCGAACGTTTTCAACTGATCAAACGTTTTTTATCGAAAGCTAATGCATTTTAAACTATCGAATATGACTATGAAAAATTTCCTTATGTCTTTATCTACTAGTTTTCTAGACTAACAAACTTTTCACTAAAGAATTTTTTTTGATTTGTTTAGATTATAGAATATATCGAATTGTCTAGGAAATTTAGTCATTTTATCAATATTTCAATGTGAAAATTTTCAAGATAATATTATTTTACTTAAAATTCATTTTTGAAAAATAGAAACAATTAATTATCCTATAGATAGTTCAATATATTCTATAATCAGAGTAGATCAAAAACAATTTTGCGTTACTCTAGAAAATCTAATAAATAAAGATCTAAAGAAATTTCTTATGGTTATATTTGATAGCGCACAATACACTAGCTTTCGATGAGAAAACGATTGACTAATTGAATACGATCTCTTATTAGAGAGACATCCATTCTATCTCATCGATTAGTTTCAATAAAAAAAAAAAAAAAAAACTCTATTTATTTTAGTCGCTAATCATACAATTATATTTCAACATAGATGTAATATAGAATCAAAAGAACCTATAAGTTGGTCAGAGCTTGAAGAAGAAATTCCTCATAATAGAAATATTGGTACAATACATCAATTAGATGTTATGATTGATAATTTAAAAAAAGTTATACGAAATTCAAAATCTTCTATGTAGGTTTATGTTTTTTGTTTTTATTAATTTTAATCAAAATTATTATTAAGATCAAAACCTCGATTATCTGTCCGTGAACGACAAAATCAACGTTTAGCAGCTATAACTCTAAGTAGTCCAATTAAATCAGATGTTTTACAAACAAATGAAATCAACCCATCAATTATCATATCAAATTCAACGTAAGAAACAAAGACAAAAGAAAATAATTTTAACGAAAAACATAAAATTTTTTTTTTTCTTGTTTCAAAGTCTGAATATAACATCACAATTACCAATAATATCTTATTTACCTCGTGTACCTGTTGTTCGATTTATTGATGATCAACATAATAAAATACCAATAAGTAATTCACAACATTTAACATGTATACAAAATGTTTTATCACATAATGAACAATTGAATAATAATCATAATAATAATAGAAAGTAAAAATAAAAATAAAAAAATCATTCATTTGCTTAATTAAATTCTTTTTGTTTTTGTTTTGATTGTTCTAGTGTAACGAATGAAATATCAACGCCTAATTCTATCAGAAAATTAGTTCTACGTTCGAAATCTACACATATCAAGTATGAAATATAAATTTAAACTTTTAAGAAAATATTTTTTTTATTTTAATTGATTTTAGTTTATCAGATTCATCTCCAACGAAAAAACGACCATTGGAAAAAGAAAATTATAGTGTCGTAACAAATTCATCAAATAATCATACACATTCAAATACTGCTTTGAGAAATACATCATCACCGTATGTAACAGCGAATGATCATATACCATATCGATCATCGTTGTTTTCTGTAGAATGGTATCGATCAAATATCCCACGTCTACTTCGTCGTCTCGTTCCTATCCAAATACAAGAAAACGTCCAATGATT